GGATGTTGGGGAGCTGAGGGAAAGTGAAAAAGAGGGTTTTCTCCATGTTGGGGAAGGTAGACTGTGGATTGGGGGTGGGCGCCAGGAAGGGGGTGAAGGGAGGGCTGCCAAGAGCCGGTGTTGGCATTAAAAGCGTGTCAGTATGGGGTGATGAGAGGGGGCAAGGAATCAGAGTTGGGGGAGAGAGAGAGAGTCTGTGGTGGCACCTGGGTAGGTGGCAAAGAGACTGGGCAAAAGTCCACTAGACTAGGGAACCAGCTTTCTTTGGCCTCTCCAGTTCGTGGGAAGCATGAGTGCAGAGGAAGGGTGGAAAGGGTGACTCATCTAGAAGGATGAAGGGGAGGGGTTTCAGCCAGGGGGCTCTGGGACCTCCACCATCCTCTTCTCCCCCCCCCCATCAGGTGTGGTGTGCCTTTTTGTGAGGTTGTAAACAACTTGGCAGCATGGCTCTGGGAAGGAGGTATGTAAAGTATATAGGGGATGGGGTTAAGGTAGGTGGTCATCTTTGGGTTAAACGAGCGAGAGGGAAGTTTGAAAATGGGAAAAGGTCCATCTTGGATTTTAAATGGTCTATCTGTCCCTTGGCCTAACAGAGGCCAGCCCACAGGAAGGTAGAGCTAGGCACCATGAGGAGAGAGATCGACAGAGTGATAAAGGGCTGGGAACTAGCAATGTAGGGCAGCTGGAGTTGAAGCAAGGGGGTGTGGCTTGGGAGTAGGCAATGGCGGGGGGGGGGCTGGAGGTAGCGTGTGGAGAGGTATGGAGAGGCCTCCGCAGATTGCAGAAGGGGATGCCGCTGTGCAGCGATCTTCTTGGTGTGGTGGTGTGCAGGCTGAGGGGTTGATGGGAGTCGGCAGAGGGTGGTGTTCGGGCCAGGAAACCATTGCTTAAAGAAGAGAGAAGGGAAGCGAGCCTGGGGCAGCTGCTCTTGTCGACTGCCTGTTCTGAGACTTTGAAGAGGTGGGAGAAGAAGCACAGCTAAAATTGTGGGTACCTCGGAACTGCAACAGAATTGTTAAAGAATTGATACTAGTGGGCAAAGTGGTGGCTTACCTTCCTGGAGTGTTTAGAGTACAAAGAGGTGATGCGGCGGAGTGGGAAAATGGTACACCTAAGAAGATATGAAAGAATAGAGGAGGAATGTTCAGAAAATAATTGTTAGGTAGGAGTTAGGGAATTATAACTTGGAAGAAGACTTTGGTTGGGGAAGAGAGACATTGAGGTTTATTATATGTACTGCATGAACAGGGCGGGCATAAGGGACAGGATAGGGGTAGGTTTATTTGTTGAATTTGAAAAGCTAAGGATTGAACTGGCTATACCTTCAAAATTGAAAGGGAGCTGATAGTTTTTTATGCTTATTGCTTTTAGGAGGAAGGCATTCTTTAAGTTAGCAGGCATCTTTTGTGCGTAAAAGAGGTTGGTTCCATATTTAACAATGAACATTTAGCCCACTATTTAGAGAAGATTTAGAGCCTTGGTCTCATCTTTCTCTGTGCTTAGTCTATAAAAGAAGATTGTATGTACATACGGTACCTTGCTTTGAACAAAGCAGAGTACGGATGACATATGTGGATTAATAGGGTGGGGTTGCAGGATAATTAATTAGTTTTGTTTCAAATCATAGGGCGCTGTTGCAGTTCTTCTAACTTTCTCTGTAGTCAGGACCACTGCTAGGGCTGTCCTTTTCCAACTTCTTCCATTAAACATCCTTGGGCAATATTTTCTTGAAGCTGTCACAATTGTGTTCAGAGCAGAAAAACCTGGGTGAGGTATGATTTTATCTTGGAATAGGGGTAATCCAAAGAGTTGGAAGGAGAAATTGAGGGAGGATTCTAACCCAATTTTAGTGTGTTTAGGTGTGGAAAGCATGTTGTTCAAAATTTGGCTGCTTCCTTCACTTCCCTGGTTTTCTTCCACAGCTCTGCTAATTTTCTGGCTACTGGTACAAGGGGATGTGGTTGAACTTTCCCACCAGTTGTGCCAGGTATGCACATAGGTTGTCTGAGTAGTTAGACTTGCAGTGCAGCCCCATGTGCTGTTCACTTCCAGGATGACATAGAAATGAGCCAGCAACTGCTATTATACTAGAAGGAGAAAACATGTGTCATTTTTTCCATCTTGCTTTCCTCCCATCTCTTGTGTTCATGAAACTTTCAGACCTCTGGTGTCTTTGATTTCTACTCTGCTGATGAAGCAATCTCTGTCATACGTACTTACTAGTAATTTTAGAAAAAAAAGTTAGTCAGACTTGATTATACTTCTGTTGTCTTGCATAAAAAGATTACTTTAGATTAAAATAGGTAAACGTAAGTGATTGAGTTTAGTGATGTTTGGGGCAGCAAAGTTCTGGCTTAAGAGTTTGATAGGGAAGAAATTGGTGTGGCAGTCTATACTAAAAACCCGGGTTAATGCTTATGGAAGATTTACAGTTTTAGGTTAATATATTAGAAGCTTTGTAGTGACATAGAAGTTGTTCTAAAACTGCTTGTAAATATAAACATGTGGAAAACACTCAGGATTGTGTTTGTTTTTTATATGTGTGCAATCTGCCATTTAATAATGGCAATATATGGCAGATAAATACAAATACTTCATTATTTTAAAAGCAGTGTGAAGTGTTGTACTAGCTGCCGAATACCTTACATAGTGACATGAAAGCTGGGGACTGTTTCATGTTGAACCATGTTCAGTATTCTGTATCAGTTCATGGGAAGAGAACTAGTATAGTGTAGAAGATGAAGTGTTCAGAATCCCTGCTTAGCTGTGGAAGCTCACTGGCCATGGTAGACAACTCCTTGAGCATCTTATATACCACAAAAGCCCCATTAGGATTGCTATCAGTTGGAAGCAACTTGGTAGGCCATAACAACATTAGAATCCGTAGAGCAACCAGAATAGTATAAGTTAAAATAGAAGCAGGACTGTATTTGTATTACTTCAAATCCAATTGAAACCCTTCCAGTTGTTTCTCTATTTCAACATTTTCTAATGCCCTTGAAAGAGGCAAAGGAGATGGTAAAACAAAAGAGAAGTTTCAGAAATTCATTTCATTAATGTAATAATGAGAGTTTGTAGCTATAGACTCTTTCAAAATGGTGGGCTAGTGACAGTAAAGGATGAAAAGATTTATGTAGATTGCAGTATGGTGGCTGGGGAAATCTTCATTGTAGTTTTTTGAGGGAGCAATAAACTGAAGCAAGCAGATCAAATGAATGAAACGCTTCTGCAAGACTGTCTCCTTGTGACCATTACAAAAATACCCAGATAGAATGCAGCCATTAAAGAGGAGGAACATCTGCCCTGATGAATGGCTGAACATATCCCTCCACCTGTCTTTGCTCAACTTGGTGCTGCACTGCTAAATTTTAGCATTACCGTAGGAAAATAAACTGCATCTCTGCAGTAAAACATTGTGCATATGGGGACATACATCTTATTTTAGAGAAGACTCGTGCTCCTGGAGGCCTCTGGGAAGTTTGGTTCTTCTCTTAAGCCATACATGCATTTGCCTTGTTTTAGATGGAACAGCAAATGTGTGAAGCTGGAAGTGTTTATTTCTTGTTGACATAATCTTTGGGAAACTAAAATTAGTCCTTAGGTCTGCTGCAGTTGCCGACCCTGGCCTAAATCTGGGCTGACCAAGATTTGTGAGAGGTGATAGGGTGTCTGTACCTCTGTAGGAGTGGTTATAGCTCATTGTTCAAGTACTGTACCTGATTTGGAAGTCCCAAATTCAACTGGCTTTCTCCCTGAGATCGATCTTTCAGAGCAGCTCTAGTCATACCGGTTGTCCCTGCACGAGACATTTTCATATATTAATCCTTCACAAACTGTAGGGTTCGAGCGATCTGCGACCCAAAAACTGCTCTCGACACATAAAAAAGCATGGCTCTGTACAAGAATGGGGTCAGCACAACTTGCTGAAAGTGTTGTATGGATTGCTGATGTTGCTTGGATGTTTCCAGAGAAGTAGCCCGGCTAGTCTGTCTCAACATGTTGGCAGAAATGGGAAAAAAGAAGGGGGGGAAGAGAGGCAAAAAAGGACAAACTATTGTGGTGTGTTAAAGGCCCACATGTTTGTTTCAGGGTGAGCTTGCGTAGATCGGAATCCACTTTTTCAGACACATAGAGTACACATCCTATGTTTGGGTGGAAATCTTAATTTATGCTTCTAGCTTATGCTACAGCAAGGGATGTGGATATGGAACCTTCTCATTCTGCTTGTACATGGCTTCATTAGACTGAATGATTTAACAGGGTTTGACGTTTTTGTCCACCATGTGTGTGCTGATACTCTCTGGCAAGCGAGAAGACCATGGAGTCTCTGCTGATCACAAAGTCGCAAAAAGAGGCAGAATCATACCAGCAGCTGTATGGCTGATACAACTGTCCCCATATTCTTCCCTGTCCCCATGTCACAACTCTAGAGCAGGGAAGGCTGTTAAGAGGCCTGTTCACCCACCGTACCACTGAAGCAACTGGAATACCTTGGCAGTGGAAGCCAAGGAAGAAAAACTCAACCCCTGTCCTGCTCCAAACATGGAATAGGAAGAATATTGTTCCTTAGTTTCTGCAGAGCTGTGACTTCAACGACCAGTTGGGAAA